AACCCTTAAGCTACTAGAGCCTTAGTAAATAGATAGGAAGATATGATATGTTTCTTGTTTTAACCTTTTTTCAGTGTAAAACCTTTTTTTCTATTTATGATTATTTTTGAATTATCTTTTTTTATTTTACATTTACAATATAAAACAGATGAACACTGCCACCTCCAGATGAAGGTTAATGTTATCAATGAAGCCTCCAGCTTGCATGTGACCACTATGTCATAGCTGTTTGGTTTTTTTTTTTTGTAAGTTTTGGATAGAGTGGGGAGGGGTTAGCGCTCCCGTCGGTTTTATTGCTGTCTGTGCTCCCATTAGGGAGATTCACCCTCTCTATTTGTCCTGTTTACCATCATCATTGAAAGTAAAAGAAAAACACAAATTTTGGGTTGTCCCCAGAACAGTAATAGAGGGGAAATCTTCCAATGAGGACACTAGTTCTAGTGACCCTGATGACAACCTGGGAATCCCTCACTTTGGAGGGATTTTCTCTCACTTTCTGTTTTGTCTGTAGGACAGGAAATGAAGAGAAATCTCCCCAATGGGACACAAAAAAACATGAGGGGTTATAACCCCTTCTTTGGAATTCCCTAACTTGGGAATTCCAGAGTGAGGTTTGGATACCTGCCAGCGAAACTTGGATATCTGAGAGCGAAACTCGGATATCTGAGAATGAAACTTGGATATCTGAGAACGAAACTTGGATGTCTGAGAATGAGGCTTGGATATCTGAGAATGAGGCTTGGATGTCTGAAAATGAGGCTTGGATGTCTGAAAATGAGGCTTGGATATCTGAGAATGAGATTTGGATATCTGAGAACAAGGCTTGGCTACTGGAGAACGAGGCTTGGCTACTGGAAAATGAGGTTTGGATATCTGAGAACGAGGCTTGGCTACTGGAAACCGAGGTTTGGATATCTGGGAACGAGGCTTGGCTACTTGAGAACTGAGGTTTGGATATCTGAGAACGAGACTTGAGAAGCATAGCCTCATTCTGTTTCCTCTAGAACTAGGAAGACAGACAGAGCAGAGATGATGCCTAGAGCAGAGAAGGCGTGCAGTCGGTGAGCTCAGCTTCCATGGTATTATCTGACCTCTACATAAGGTCTGTCATTTGACTATAGAAAGCGGGGTCCTTACTGGGGTGTGCACCAATTTCTACCATTTCTAACTTGCTAGTCACGTATTCTCTATCTCTTTCACCCTGTAGTTTTAGAAATCTACCTTTCATTACATACTGTGTATTTCTACTGACCAGACTTTTTTCATAAGTGCTTGGGAAGCGTTGGTCATTGTACGCTGTTCTCTTTGTGACCCTTGCTGCTCTACCGTGATCACGGCTCCTACGTTCCTCCTGTGATCAGCCAAGGAAATGAACTCTGCAATGGTAATGTGGAAACAGTGCATTGGAGCAGCCTATTCATTTAAAAGGGTTTCCGAATGCACCAGAACGGACCAAAAATGTGCATGCTGTATTTTCAGCCATGTTCTACAATGCATGGTAGACATACACCCACATACAACTACATATATACACTGCATATATATACTGTAAACACAGGGATACACCAACAGACTATTCAATACATATTTTCACTGTTTATATCTAAATGTAGGGCAATAAAATAATTACGCTTTACTTTTCAGCAATTTTGAAGAATTTGAATGATGAATGAAGAATGTTGATTAATTACATCTTTAAGTGACATAATATTTGGAAAGAATGATTACTTCACCTTCTCCTCTGTTCTCTAACAATTTAGGACTCTTGCCTGCAACTGATGAATTTGGAAACCCTTTGCACCAAAGAAGAGGTACCCTCCACGCACTGCTGTACAGGGTAAATCATAAATGGAATGTAAAATGAAAGAGTGCTGATGGATTGCTGTAGGTTGACAAAAGAGTCCTATATCATTAGGAGCAGACATTGGATTACCCATTCCATAGATAATTCAACCCCCATTTTAGAAAAGTGCTTTAATCAAGAAGTATTGCTTTAAATTTCTTTACACCTATCACTGCCCCATTGAACAAGAAGCTCAAACACAGCAGGGGGATTCACTGCCGTCAATCATAGCTAGTTTGGAGGGTAGGGTTGAGCCTCAGCTGTCCTGGGTCTCTCTCTCCTCATTGGCTGAGACACAGCAGAAGGAGCCACCGGTCACAGCCAGTGAGCCAATGAGGAGAGAGCAGGGGCCAGGACCCTCTTATGGCCGCATAGAGCGTGACTCGGGAGCGAGCGAGCATGCACTAGTGCCCCATTCATAGCAAGTGGCTTGCTATGGTGGGCACTCGGCTGGGGGGGGGGGGGCAACGGCCAGTGGACACGAGAGGAGGAGGATCGGGCCTCCTCTGTGCAGAAATAAAAGTTAACCTTTATAATCACTAGGAAGCACTTTGCTAAAATGGAGGTTGGATTATCTATGGAATGGGTAAACCCTTGTCTGCTCTCTGTAAATGCAGTGGTGCTTGCTTTGGGTTTCCATGATCTGTAGTTACAAATAGACAGCACAGTTTGTATGAAGTTTTCATGTTCTCCCTGTGCTTGCATAGGTTTCCTTGTATTCTCCAAAGACATGCTCTGGTATAAAATGGATCTAGTATGTGTGCATGTGAGATAGGGACCTTAGATTGTAAGCTAAGTGAGAGCAGGGACTGATATGAATATACAGTATACTGTATGTAAGGTGCTGCATAAATTCACATTTATACCTGGAATAATAATGGTCTGTACATTAAATGGAATGAAATCCATGTACACCTCACATCTTATGATGTAATGAAATTTAAATCCCAACTACAGTTACAGTTATGACAGTTAGTAGACTGGGTGCTCAAAAGAAAGCCTCCCACTTAGAGAGACCCTGTCCCTATACTTCACATTTGATTGGTAGCACTTGCAGTAGTTGAAGATGTCTAATTCTGGTCTGTAACAAAGATTTTTTTAAATTTATTTTTTACTTAATATACTGAGTTTTGTCTTGGAAGTGTCCGTGCTTGGTCAAGCTTCTGCTCCTGACCCTGGCCTCCCACTTTCCATACTTGGTGTGTGGGGTTCACACCCTCTGGCCTATTGTGCTCATATTTTAAGGGACAATTTACTGCTGAGTGGGTATAAGAAGGTAATAAGTCCGAACAACCTCAGAAGCATCACTGTTTTCTGATATTTAAATCTTTTTCTGTATTAGTCCAGGGTGGGGGCCCTTCTGTAGCTCCCCATTGGCCAGACTGGCAGGACCAATCTAGATTCCCAGCAAAAGATTTGTATATCAAAGCTCCTCTTAAGCTGCCCAGATATGAAAATATGAATTAAAAATTTGGCTGGTTCAGCAGGGACCGGACAAATTTCGATCTATGTATGTCCACTGTGATTAACATCTATGGCTAGCTTTAGTTCTCACCAGAAACAGGTATAGTCCCCCTACCTTCCCCATTAGAACATCTTCCCCATGCCATTGACAACTGTAACATTTTCATTTACCCATGACTTTTTGTACCAGTAACAATGGTCACCAGGACAAATGTATATCAACCGCCAAGCCACCACTGCAGTAAAGTTTGTGGTTTTTAAAGTGGTTGTAAAGGCTGAAGGTTTTCACCTTAATGCATCCTGTGCATGAAGGTAAGAAACCTTCTGTATTCTGCTCCCCCCCATAGCCCCTCCCTTATACTCACCTGAACCCCCTCCCAATGCATTGATGTGCATGGGAGCCTACGCTGTCCCGGGTCTCTCTTTCCTCATTGGCTGAGACACAGCAGAAGGAGCCACTGGCTCCCACTGCTGTCAGTCACAGCCAGTGAGCCAATGAGGAGAGAGCAGGGGTAGGGACCCTCTTATGGTTGCATAGAGCTGGGCTCAGGAGCGAGCATGCACCAGTGCACCAGTGCTCCCATAGCAAATGGCTTGCTATTGGGGGCACTAGTCAAGGGGGAATTTCCAGGACTGCCATCAGGAGACCCGAGAAGAAGAGGAGCAGGGCTGCTCTGTGCAAAACCATTACACGGAATAGGTATGTATGACATGTTTGTTTAAAAAAAAAAAAACCCAAACCTTTAGAATCACTTTAAATAGTCTTCATGTAAAAAACAATACATTCACAAAGCTTTAAAGCTGAACTTCAGGTAGACTTATAAGACACAAAATAATGCAGCTTTATATTTAGTGATATATCACAAAATGTATTTTGAATACACATAGTGAAAGTACCTGAATCTGACCCAATATCCGCCTCTTGCAGTCCCTGTATAGCAGAGCTCAGACTGCCAGAGAGGGAAGCAGCTAAAGAGTCATTCAGTTCATGTGCTAACAATAACCATTCTAAAAGAGTGACTGAGAGACGAGCTCAGCACTGTGCTGTTTCTCCTTTCACTGTCCAGTCACTGACTTGGAGCAGGTCTAGGATGACCTGGGCTCAGAGGAAGTAGTTTTATGCTAGCCATCCAACCGAGGACATCTAGTGGCAGAAGAAAAGTACTGCAGGGAAAATCTCTGGATTGAATGTATGTATTTGCAGCAAAAGTATTTTTTTTTTTACTTTCAGTGTTTTTATTAAGGACTTAAAGTACAATCCGTAAAAAACATTATTATGCTAATCAGAATTAATAGTAACGTGACAATAGTCCACCATTACAACAAGAATAGTAGCTGCAAAAGCTGTTTTTATTTTATATCTTTTAATTAGATATTAATTTTTATTGCTTTGTTTTGGGCTTGAGTTCAGCTTTAATGCAAAGATAATGATCTTTATTTTAGCAATGTAGCCAATTGTTAAATCTCTTTGCACTCAACTGAAAATAATTATATAAAAAGGAGCCTTATCCTGGTTTGTTAACTTTGTGAACTGAACCTCTAGTGTCCCTGCAAAATATTTAGGAGAATAGGCTATGCAGAAATGTGACCTGGGTTGTCATGTATGGAGAGGTAATTATACCAGGTCTTCACCATTTTCTGTTTTCTTGCTCTAGAACTGGTGGTAGGTGAGTCGCCGCCAACGCCCTGCATCATGGGAGCAGAGCAGAGCAATGAGCATGACCTTCGGCATGGAGATTCCAACTCTGGTGAGTGTGAGTTCTGGTTTGAGCCTGTGTAAATCAAGGGCTACAGAATGTCAGGCTGGAGTGGTCATTATGTCTGGTTACCCATAGCAATCGTCTAGAATCTCTGCAGAAATTAATTGGGAAGGTGATTAGTTGCTATGGGCAAGGCACAAATGAATGCATAATATGAATGCATTAAAGGCTAGGTTCACCTTTACAGGCACCTTAGAAAAAAAATTAAAAATGCACATTTTTTTTTACCTGCAAAAAAAACCTGCAATTATTTTCTTTTTTTTTTTTTTTTTTTCAAAAGGTGAACTTATCCATTAATACATCATTACATTTTGTCATGCAAGTACATGCATTGGACTTGGTGCCCACCTTTTGCAACCCCTTTAGAGTAGAGCTCAGGCTGGGATAAGGAGAAGCAGCACAAGATGCAAATCAGTTGTATTGCAGTGCTTATGTGCTAATGAGGGATATACTAATAGGAGAGTGACAGAGAGAGAAAAGCTCATCAGTTTGCTGCTTCTCTCTTCACTGAACAGTTACAGGCTAGAGAAAGGATAATGCTTCTATTTGTTATTAAACTACTGTAACGGAACCGACCCAGACTGCACTTGGGTATTTCCGTTAGACTACCGCTTCTCCGTCCGAACACCGACAACAGACACCACAGCTGACGGTACAAGACTAGACAACACCAATCTTGAAGTAATCCAGAAGGTAAAACTAGTTTATTTGAACACAGATACAAGATACATACACTCAAGGGACAGCCCCCCCCCCCCCCCCCTGCATAATGAAACAGGGAGGGCCAATCTACATTTAGTAACAAGAGACACACAGGTATTCAAACTTCACACCAGCAGACAGTCCCATCAGGAGGGAGGGCTGCTGGAGACCCCCCCCCCCCCCATCCCCACTAAGCTAATACACATAAACACATACATCCCATAATAGTTTGCTCCCAAGCCTGACAAACAATAGAACAATGGGATGCACCCACATGGCATTAAACAATCCACAACCTCCACCCCACCTATACATGTATACACAATATTAGGACAGATCACCCTGTACCCCTAACAGGCACACGGTGACTTACACATAATAGGGATATGGGGAGCTGAGACAGGGGTCTCCCCACCTCTCCAAAGGGGGCTGTGTTCCATGGGCCCCCCACCCAAAGTGACTCCCATCACAACTACAGAAGAGAAACATCAGGTCTCTTCCTCTGCCAGACAGGGCTGTGCTATGTGGCAGAGCTGTATAAATCTGGATGGCCAGAAATACAAATCCTTTGACAGTAAAAGCAGCTGTATTTCATTTGTGTATTCAACGGTTAGCCTTTTATTTAGACCTAATCAAGTCATTACTGGGTCTCAGTGCTTCTCTATGCCACGCAGCAAGAATATTGCTGGTGGGAGGGGCCAGCGGGGTGTTCTACATGGCTTCCTGAAAACATCAAGACACCTTGCCTCAGTACTCCTTTCAATAGCAGTAGGTTGGTTCTTGGAAGTAGTTATGTAAATACAAAAATGCCTTGATGGGTGGAGCATTGGGCATTCCTAGGCAGGCTGTATTTGCATGCAGATCACCGTAAGTAATGCCCATGTTTGGTTCTGAGCCTATATGATTGAAAAGATTGAAATCAAATGAATAAAAAAGGGGCTGGTCAGGGACAGTCAGGGTAGATGACGCTGGCCATTCTCCAGCCAGGAAATGAGGCAGCTTCAAATGCACATTGTGAGAATCTCAGTGTGCAGTGAAATCAGAGTAAGTAATTTCAGTATAGGAGAGGAGTCGGTACAACTGTACAAGACTGTGGGGACCCACCACACTCCTATTCCATCACATGACTATTTGAATATAAGACATAGTAAAATGGTACTGCGGGCACACAGCTGATGGGGGTTACATACACATAACGGTTTCAAATCTTTCATTTTCTTGTCTGTTTCCCCTTCACTGAAAAGTCTGTGTTTTGGAGGATCTGAACTGTGGAAGTGAAAGTAGTAGTCAGCAATAGCTGAGCCAGCGAGCAGTTGTTGTGACATTTCAGTAGCGGCACCACAAGTCACATGCAAAGTCTTTATGGTTATACTTCTTCATGTTTCTGTTCCCAGCGAATCCCTCCCCAGCCAGACAGAGAGCCAAGATGGATGACATTGTGGTGGTGGCTCCTGGGACACAATCTCACCGGAACATCACAAAAGACCCCGAAGTCATCAAGCTGCAGGAGATCCCCACTTTCCAGCCCCTCCTAAAAGGTCAGAGGCTTTTCTGTCCTGTTATGTGCAATGGGCGATCTCTTACTCCTTCAGACCTGAAATTCCAAGAGGTGCTTTTTATATTTAGAGAAAGTGTAGAATAATTCTCCAGCTGGTCACAGGACAAAAGCAGTCTTTATTACACAATAGGTGAAATCATGCAATCATTAAGTCTGTATCTGAAATGCGTCGTTATCTGAAATGCGTAGTATTTGCTATGTTGAGTTTTACTTGTTGTGTAATCTTGTGATTAGCAGGAAACCTCTACTCTTTATTCTACATATCTATTATTATTATTATTATTATTATACTGGACTTATATAGCGCCGACAGTTTGCTCAGCGCTTTACATTATGGAGGGAGACAATACAGTAACAATACAGTTCAATACAAGAGGGATTCGAGGGCCCTATTCTAGGAGGGAGGGGATAGTGTTACAAGAGGTAATTAGCTGTGGGGGATAAAGTGGTAGAAGGAGTAGGGGATTCCAGTATTAGCTGGGGTCGGCACCTGGCGTGTAGAGTGCAGTAGTGAGAGTGAGCTTCTTATAGTGCCCAATGACGCCACGCGTGTGCTCTCTGCTTGAGTTCCCTAATATGTCCCCCTCTGCTTCTGTCTCCCTGCATCTGTCATATTCTTAGTAATGTAAAATAAATGTAAAAAATCAATTGGTATAAGTGTGATCCCATTGTAACCGAAAAGATTCTTGTTTTAAAACATTAGGAAAGTGAAAACTTTACGGCTCGTTCACACTTGACTTTATTTCTAACTCTTGCCAAATGCCCCTATAGGGTTTGACAGGCATTAGACAGGTGTTTGGGAAGCATTTCTAATGCTCCACAAACGCCCCATGCACGGTTTTGAGGCGGTTGATAGGCGTTTGCTAGGCGTTAAAACCGCACCACAAACGCCTATAATGAAGTTAAATGGTATTAAAGCTCCGCACCCGTTTCACAGCCGCATCGCAACTGCGTTGCAAACACCTGCCAGGCGTTTGAGGAGCGGCACCATAGACTTGAATGGGAGGCTTCAACTCCTCCTGACTCGACCAGAGGCATCAGTTTTTGCTGCAACGCTATGGTAACGCTTCAGTGTGAACAGCACTGTGTGCTGCCATGTGCAGAATTTTCATAGGTGTTTGAGAAGCATTAAAAACACTTCCCAAACGCCTGTCTGACACCTGATGACAAAGCTAGTGTGAACGTAGCCTTAAGCTGACTTTAAAGCAGCTTATATTATAAAAAAAACAACTTTTCCATTTTCATGATATACCTTAAGTTGGACCCAGTGATGTCATCACTTGATCCTTGTGCTTCTCTATGCAATGCAGGCAGATCATGGCTGGTGGGAGGGGCCTGCAGGGTGCTGTACATAGCTTCCTGAAAACATCACAGGGCCCTACCTCCGTACTCCTCCCAAGAGCCCTCGGCCTTGAGGTAAGCAGTGTGCTGGCTCTTGGGAAGAGTTATGCTAATATCAAAATATCTTGATGGGTGGATGTCTGTCTGGAGGAATGGGCTTTCCTAGGCAGGCTGTAGCATGCAGATCACCATAGGTAACACCCACATGTGAGACTCTGTGATTGAAAAGAACTGAAATCTAGTGAATGAAAGGGGTGGGCCAGGGACAATTGGTCTGGGGAGAAAAGGGCGAGATTATGCTGAATGTCTGTCAGCTAGGAAATGAGGCGAACTCTATATGACTTGCTGCAGCTTCTACTTCACATTGAGAGAAGCTCACAGTGTGCAGTGAAATCAGAGTAAGCAATTTCAGTCCAGAGGAGAAGTCAATACAACTGGGCAAGTCTGAAGAGCAGCTTGTTGTTCTGCTTTAAATGGCTTTTTTTGGCTAGATGCAGGGGTGTCAAACTGGTGGCCCTCCAGCTGTTGCGAAACTACAAGTCCCATCATGCTTCTGCCTTTGGGAGTCATGCTTGTAACTGTCAGTCTTGCAATGCATCATGGGACTTGTAGTTTGGCAACAGCTGGAGGGCCGCCAGTGTAACATCTGTGGGCTAGAGTGTTAAGAGATTAGGACCTCTGTCAGTTTTTTTTTTTTTTTTTTTTTTTTTTTTTTGCTGTCTGTGTTAACCCTGGTGCCCGTTATCACTGGGCCTGAAGGTAAGAGAAGATCCAAAAATGTAGTTGTCACCAAAACAGGAAGTGAAGGTGAAATCTTCCAATGGGGACACCAGTGCTGGTGACAGATGTCTGATAGGGGATTCCCTTCTGTTTGCGGAGATTTCTCCCCACTTCCTGCAATGAGGAGGAGAGAAGATTTCTCCCTAATGGGATACAAAATACAAATGAACAAAGATCTGACAGGTGTTTGAGCTATTCTTTGCGCTATACAAAATGAAGGATGGAGGTGTCATTGCCGCCAACAAAAGCCAACTTCATATTCATGGCCATGATTTTAGATTAAAATGGTCAATAAGCCATGTAGTGTACAGAGCAGGCCTAATTATGCTGTAGTGTGATGAGTTTAGAGATCATTTCTGATTGGTCACCCAGACTTACCTTAGGCAGGCCATAGACAGGGCGTTTATCGGCCGAATTTTCGGTCGATAAACGAAAAATCGGTCGGCCCTATTGCCGATGCTGCCACCAATGTTTTTTAGTGGATTTTCCAGCATGACTGATAAAAATAAATGTGAAGATCTGCGAAAAACGGCCGACCGGGTGGCCCCACTAACGGCGTGAATATTGGCCGATTTTTTTTCGTGCGGACGAAAATTTGGCCGATAATCGACCCGTCTATGTTCTGCATTACTTCACATTTGTTGTTCTTTGTTCAAGTTTCTGTCCCAAGATAATCAGATAATAAAATCTATCTCTTCAGGGAAGCTTATCCTGCCTTCAGCTAATACTGGAATCTTCTACTCCTCCTACCAGTCCATCGCCCACAGTTATTACCTTTTGTACCACTAGCCCCTCCCTTCTAGATTGTAGCCCTCTTATATTGAACTGTATTGTTGCTGTTTTGTCTCCCTTTATATTGTAAAGCAATGAGCAAACTGTTGGCGCCATATAAATCCTGAATAATAATAATAATCAGTTTTTTGGAGTTGGTACTAACGATGATCAGTAGGGGGCAGCAGAATTCAGCATCATGCTCACTTTCCATTGAACCTACAGGAGAAATCGAACATATAAATGATAAGTTTTATCTGCTAAGTGAATGTATTTTAGTTCCAGGTGTCAGGCTCTGCGGTATACAGAAAACTGAGAAATCCCTCACCTGTGTATAGATGCATACAATCTGCTTTTTCAAAGCTGGTCTCCTATGCAGGCTAACATTCGATTGCTTAATCTGAGCCCATAACAGATCTCAAGGGTGCCTACTGGTGTTCAGGCAAAATATCGGTCCTGCTCTAATATACAGACATTGTGACCAGTCTGCACTTTAAAGCACAACTCCAGCAAGAACCTTTTTAGTTTTCTGGTTCAATGTTTTTTATTGAAGACTTTTCTAATAGTTACATAGTTAGTCTGGCTAAAAAAAGACAAAAGTCCATCCAGTTCAAGTATTAAAAAAAAAAAAAGTTATAATCCTGCACCCACAGTTGATCCAGAGGAAGGCAAAAAAAAAACCCAGCAAAGCATGATCCAATTTGCCCCTGCAGGGAAAGAAATTCCTTCCTGATCCCCCAAGAGGCAATCAGATATTCCCTGCATCAACGTTACCTATAAATGTTAGTATCCAGTTATATTCTGTGTATCTAAGAAACAATCCAGGCCTTTTTTAAAGCAATCCACTGAGCTGGCCAGAACCAACTCTTGAGGGAGTCTGTTTCACATTTTCACAGCTCTCACTGTGAAGACACCTTTCCGTGTTTGGAGATTACATTTCTTTTCCTCCAGACATAAAGAGTGCCCCCTTGTCCTCTGTGATGATCTCAGGGTGAATAGCTCTACACCGAGTTCACTATATGAATCCTCCCTGTGTCTCTCTCTCTCCCCCCCCTCCCTGTCTGTCTCTGTCTCTCTCTCTCCCCCTCCCCTGTCTCTCTCTCCCCTCTCTCTCCCCCTCTCTCTCTCCGCTCCCTCCCTGTCTTTCTCTCTCCCCCCCCCCCATGTCTTTCTCTCTCTCTCTCTCTCTCTCCCCTCCCTCTCTGTCCCCTGCCCCCTCTCTCTCTCTCCCCCTGTCTTTCTCTCTCTCCCCTCCCTCCCCTGCCCCCCCCCCCCCCCCCCCCACCTATCTCTTCCCCCCTCCCCGTCTCTCTCTCTCCCTTCCCTCCCCGTCTCTCTCTCTCCCTCTCCCTCTCTCCCTCTCCCCCTCCCTCCCTGTCTTTCTCTCCCTCCCTCTCCCCCTCCCTCCCTGTCTTTCTCTCCCTCCCTCTCCCCCTCCCCTCCCTGTCTTTCTCTCTCTCCCCCCTCCCCCTCCCTCCCTGTCTTTCTCTCTCTCCCCCCTCCCCCTCCCTCCCTGTCTTTCTCTCTCTCCCCCCTCCCCCTCCCTCCCTGTCTTTCTCTCTCTCCCCCCTCCCCCTCCCTCCCTGTCTTTCTCTCTCTCCCCCCTCCCCCTCCCTCCCTGTCATATCTCTCTCTCTCTCTCTCTCTCTCTCTCTCTCTCTCTCTCTCTCTCTCTCTCTCTCCCCCCCTCCCCCCCCTCCCCCTGTCTTTCTCTCTCTCTCCCTCTCCCCTCCCTCCCTGTCTTTCTCTCTCTCTCTACCCCTCCCTGTGTGTCTCTGTCTCTCTACCCCTCCCTCTCTCTCTCTATCCCCCCTCCCTCTCTCTCTCTCCCCCCCCCCCCCCCCCCCCCCCCCCCCCCCCCCGTCTGTCTGTCTCTCTCTCTTTCTCCCTCTATTTTACCCCTATCCTCCTCCCCCTCTTTCCTTTTTTCTCTTTCCTCTTCTCAGGTTTTGACAATCATTAACTTTACCACAAATTAGCTTTTTACTCTTTAGAAAACTTGTATTAAAATTAGGACCATGCGGTTGTTTTTTTTGGTGGCAAAAAGAAGTTTTAAAACCATGAATTTCCTCATTAGTCTTTGATGAT